CTTTTCCAGAGAAGGGTCTGGAACCCCTGAATCCGCTAATGAGCTCGCCCCCATTGGCTGTCCCCAAGGCACCCCCATGCCGTCACTCGTATGCTAATGAAGGCGAGGCTCATTGGCTGGGCCTCGGGCGACAGCTCGGGAGGGCCTGTGTGCGGGGAGCGGGCTTGGGCGAGCCGGGGCCGGAGCCCCCGGAGCGCCTCCGCCAGCCTGGGCTGCGCGCCTGCGCGCGGAGGACGTCCTGGAGGGGGCGTCTTTCCGCGGGCGGTTAGGACGGCGCCTCACGTCGTGCGCCGCTGCCCCTCGCCCCTCTTCCTGGGCCCCGCGCATTTGGTTCCGCTCCGGGGCGAAGTAACTTTTGCCTTCCCGCCTCCCCCGTCCTGGGCACCAGAGGCGGCGCCGAGCCTGGGGGCGGTTCCTTGGCAGCGCTGATTGGAGTCTGAGCCAGACTTTGGGTCCTGGGCTGGGTTTGCATCATCCCCATCACACCCTAGGGAGAGCGGCGCCCGCCCTGCTCCCAGCTCGGCTTCCGGCCTCAGCGACCCCCGCCCTGCCGGCCCCTCCCCGGCCCCCGGGCTCCGCGGCGGGTCCCTGCCTGCTGCCTCCCGCCCTCCATCCGTTGTTTGATGTTTCCCACTCTTCTGAGGAAGGATGGTTGATTTGGAGAGCGAAGTGCCCCCTCTGCCTCCCAGGTACAGGTTTCGAGATCTGCTGCTAGGGGACCAAGGATGGCAAAACGACGACAGGTGAGCAGAGTGGTGCAGCGTGGTTCCCTTCACACAGCTGGGAAAAAGTGACAGAGGTGGGAGGCTGAAGGGGAAGAGGAGAGGAAGGAGAGAGGCCAAAGGGAGACCGCCACCCCGGGCGAGGGAGTGAAGGAACCTGACGCCTCTCTCCATTTTGATCCGCACCGCACTTGCTATGGACAGGAACTCTTCCTTTTCACTTCGTAACTCTGGCCAGGTGTTTATTACCTTTCTCCGGGGCTTATTCTTTGGTCAGTCGTTGCTTTCCTTGGCCGTGATGATGCTGGTGTGTCAGAGGTACAGTGCATCCAAATGCCACGCAGTACTGCTGCCAAATGATGTTCAGGATTTTCCTTAGGTGTGGTTCCATGCAAGTTGATGGGAAAAGCACATTAGAAACTTAAAAATCTCCTACACCTATTTCCTTACACCTTGCCAGTGTTGTCTTGACTACTTGCCACTAGGAATTTTGATGCTGTTTAGACATTGGGAGTTTCAGATAGACAGTTGGTTTAGATATGTAACAGGTAGTTAGTGAAATTGATCACCGCTGCATAGAAAATGCTTATTTTGAAAGGGGAACTGAATATTATGAATAATGGTGTTTGTATAGCATGATGCAGCCTTTCCACGAAGTGTATTTTTAACCTGAACAGTATATATGTCTCAAAATTAAAACTAAGTTTCCAAAGTAGAATATATATTTCTAGCAAGCATATTGCTCATGTGTTTTTATCAGTAGCATCTATGCTTTATGTAAACTTGCAAAATTCTTCTAAGCTATCGCTACCAGATTATAAAAAGCACGTTTTGTGTTTTCATTGAATTCTGTGTTTTCTAGAAAAATCGTTTCATGTATCACATGCCACATTGTCTTGTTTTTAAATGGTGTATGTATAATAACTAAGCTTTTAACTCAGTTAAGATGTTTCCTTGAAGTTCAGTTTGGCATTAATGTTCTATTTGAGTTAAATAAAAGGTCCATCATTGGCTAGTCTGAAATCTCTGTGTTTACCATTGGGCAATAAACCCTCCTTTCCTCAGTTCTCAGCTCCCACTCCAAACTCCTGTCCACTGCTCTAGGGACTTTATCTTGGGCATCATTCATCTTTATTGGTCTCATATTAGTGATTTAAAGGGATATGGGTGTTTTGTAAGGGATAATAATTCAATTAAATTGCTTCTTTTTAGATGAAAACATATACATTAGCCAAAAATTTAAAGAACAAATACCTGAGGCATTAGCCAGTATGACTGTAACCTATGGTGCTCTGATTAACTGGAGAAATCTAAAGACTGTTTAAATCGATTTGCAATGCTAATCGACATTTAGATAAACTTTATTAGCTAACATAAATGGCTGATTCACTGATTGAATTTATATTTATTCCAGGCCCTTAGAAATAATATAGAATAGATATCTGCATTGTAGAAAGTTTGAGATGAGCTGAATACATTAGAGGACATATTTGGTCAAAGTGGTGGTAGTGTTCTTTGTATTTAAATATCATATCTACCCAAAATGCTAATTGCTCATGTAGTATTCCTCATCTTTCTAAGAATGCTGCAGAAATATTTTAGTAATTAAGAATTTGGGTTAAGCGCACAGCCAGGCCTGGGTGTGGTGCCCAGGGCCTGGGTCCCAGCAGCAGCCGGCATGGGGAAGACGCAGGTGTGACCTCCACGAGCTCTTCCACCCATGCCAAGATGATATTCTACTTAGTCACCCTAAGAAAAAGAAGCCTAGAGCAAAACTGTTGGGAGGTAGTGCTTCTTTGGAAGGCCTTGCTGAGCCTGTTCTTCATAGGCCACCTGTATGCAGTGAGCTCCCAACTGCAGAGCTCAGAGAGGATCAAAGGAGGCAGAAGACAAGGCCACCTCTTGAGCCTGAGACTTCCTTCACCCAAAAGAAGATATCTAGTCCACCTTCATTACGAAATGAAAATGGTATTGATGTGGACCCAGCTGAGGAGACAGTTACTCAAAACCTCGAAGGAAGGCAAAAAAAACCAAGCCAGCAGAGTTACAGTATGCCAATGAACTAGGAATAGAAGATGAGGACGTAATTACTGACGAGCAAAGAGTTCCACAGCAACAGTCTAGATTCACTGCACCCACCAGAATTAGCCAGCCTGTAGGCAAAGTATTTGTAGAAAAAAGTCGGCAATTCCAGGCTGCTGACCGTTCAGAGTTGATAAAGACCACGGAAGACATTGACATGACCATGGACGTGAAGCCTTGCGGGAGTGCCAGAGATGTGGTGCTTTCTGTGCACCGGACCTTCAGGATGGTTGGTCTCTTTTCTCATGGCTTCCTGGTGGGCTGTGCTGTGTGGAATGTTGCTGTGATCTATGCGCTAGCGGGTGCACAGCTGTCGAACCTCCTCAACCTTCTGCTGCAGTACAAGACCTTAGCATACCCATTCCAGAGCCTCCTGTACTTGCTTTTGGCTCCAAGTACAGTCAGAGTTTGACAGAGCTGACTTTGCTAAGACATCAGCAGCAATCCGAAATTTTTTTGCCCTGGACCCAACAGCTTTAGCATCTTTTTTGTACTTTGTTGCTCTTATACTGTCTCTGAGCCAGCAGATGACAAGTGACAGAATCCACCTTTACACACCTTCTTCTGTTAACAGCAGCCTCTGGGCCACGGGAATTGAGGAACAGATTCTGCACCCATGGATGGTGGTGAATTTGGTGGTGGCCCTTCTGGTGGGATTGTCTTGGCTATTTTTGTCTTATAGACCAGGCCTGGATCTTAGTGAAGAGTTAATGTTCTTCTGTGATGTGGAAGAGTATCCTGATAAAGCCATCAGAACCCCTACATAGTATCAACTCATCTGCAGAGGAATAATGACCCAGTATTTTTCCCACTTTTCCAAAAAATGTATTTTATAAGTGATGTATATGTGTATTTGTAACTGATTTTTGATTATATAATACAGAAAACTTCTTGATTATAGAAAAATGTTAAAATTATATCTTCAATTTATAATAAAACATTAATTTCCTTAGCCTTATTATATTAATGACAAAAGAGAGAATGATTTAGGAACCAGTAGATAAGTATTTATTTCCTACTCTGTCAAATATATTTACATAATTAGCATCTTAAAAAGACTAATTCAGGGCCTGTCAGTGGTTTTGCCGCCTGCTATGCAAGCGCAAGGATCCAAGCCCAATCCCTGGTACCAAAAAAAAAAAAATGACTAATTCAAAAAAATCCTCGGGTCAGGGATTTAGCTCAGAAGTTCTGCTGCCTGCCTCGCAAGCACAAGGACCAGAGTTCGATCCCCGGTACCAAAAACAAACAAAAAAATCCTCAATTTTAGTATTAGAAAGTATATACCAAATTTAATTATGGATTTAGGGAATAGAGGGTAAAAAATTTTTGTTACTTCCTTACTGAACAAATTGAAATACAAAATTTGTCTTTTCTGAAAAAAAAAAAGAATTTGGGTTAGTTGAATACCGAGTCACTGCTATATTAAAAAGTTTTGCAGTCATTTAAAATTTCTATTATAATAATGTTTATGCTAGCTCAATTTTAACTTAAAAATCAAGCCCAATTTACCATTAAAATAAAAGGTTAAACATTTAAAAATATTCTACCATTTAAAAAATTAGCTGATTATGTGGCTTCACTAAGAATTAATGTTTAGTTTCAGTTCCATTTGTTGTTAATCATTAAAAGCCAGATACTCAGAATCAAAGAGACCTGTTTCAGTGTTTTCCTTATTCCCCCAGGAACCAAGTGGTTTTGGACAAGTCTTTCAGCCATTATGAGATTTGATGATTTTATTTGTATAGTTGGAATAGCTACCTCATAAATAACTTTACCTCATAAAATGGTGACAAGAAGGAAGGACTAATGCTTGGTTGGCACTAAGACTGCCATGTGCTTTACTTATGCCATGTGTTATTTCAGTCAGTCCTCATATAATCCCTTAATACTGGATAATTATTTTAGGGACAAGGAAACCCAGGTCCTAGGAAATTAAATATGAGCAATTCTTTGGTTCACGAATGCTTTGACTCGCCAATTCAGTTTGGAAACAGACGTGCGCAAAATTTTGCTTCCATTTGAAAACTCCCAAGTCCAGTGGTGAACACGAACATGGCTATCTTCCCCAGAATCCTGGAACAAATTAAGTTCATGAACTGAGGCACCACTGTATTTGTCCTGGGTACTACACCTTAAGGTAAATATGACTCCAGCTCAATTCTTTGTGACTCACATTTCTCGAGAAAGTCTTAAGGAACAAAAAAGAGAGAAAGTTTTTTTCCACTTAATTTATCTGAATTTATAAGAATAAATTTTGTAGCACCTGGCATAGTTCACATACTCAGTAAACATTGATCCCCTCCCTTTTTCACTTTTGATTTGCAATTTGCAGTTCTTTTCCTTATTTTTTGTTTGTTCTGTTTTTGAGATCCTGAACTAATACATAGTAAAATTATTTCTTTTTTCATAAGCAAGGTCACAAATTTCTCTCTGAAATTACATCTGAGTAACAATCCTAAGCTAGTGACTTATCTTCTAGATTGAATTCCCACAGAGTTGAGAACACTCTTTCATATAGGAAAGGATAGATTATTTC